CCCCCCCCCCCTCTATTTGTCTTGGGAAGCATTGTTATTTAGATCCTGTTTTTTTAGGACAGGAAGTGGAAGAAAATGGAGAAGGCAAAAATAGCTTGAAAAAAAAAAGAGTTTAACCCTTTCTTCCTCATTCAAAAAAAAAAAAAAATTGCCTATGCATTTTTATTTTACCCATAACTCAGACAACCTTTGCTCTAAAGTAGTAGACTATGTGGTAATTCTATTCTTCAATGCTCAGCTGAAAACTAACTTAATATCTGAGGTATTTCTAATATTTTTCAACTGGGCAGGTTAGTGAGCATAGATTAGGCATAATGTTGATTACCTTTACTATCCGGAACTGTTTTATGCTGTCCATAGACAAGCAGATCACATACAGCAATGAGAGATCTACTTGTCATTTTTTGCCTGCCAAACCTGACAGGTTCCATACCAGAATCCACTGACTTTTAAACACAGCAAACTGAAGGGATTATTTTATCGAAATGAGGGAAAGATCCTAAACTTGCTGCTGAAAGCCTTCAATTACTTGAGAAAAAAAATATTTTAGACTAGGATAGTAAACCAGAACGCTCACAGCAACTAAGTACAGATATGACCCAATATTGTGACAATTGCAACAGTCAGTAATGGTCATTGTTGAAACTGAAAAAATCCCATGTAATTTGTATGCAAATATCTTGATGATATTTTTACAGAGTCTCAGGACACTAATGCTTTCCTATGTAGCCAATTAGACAGCTTAACTTGAAAATTTGCTACTTGTTTAATCCTCTTTAGTAATGTCAAAGATGTGTAATCCTCCCCAAGAAAAAAAAACAGTAAAGTCTCACAATGTAGGTTTAATCATGGCAGGCTTTATTATGTAACAAATTAACTTTTCTGTCTTTGCCAGTATCACATGTATGACAATGATTCAAATTTGTTTATTGAGTAGATCTTTACAGAATGATATGACAGCTTCCTGCAATATAAAAGCAATTAAAGGAACACTATCGCACATAAAATTGCATTCTGATGACTGTGTGAGGTAATATACTGTATGTACACAGTTGGAAGAAAAAGTATGTGAACCTCTTTGAATTAACTGGTTTTCTACAGTAATTTGTCATAAAATGTGATCTGATCCTCATTTAAGTCACAACAATAGACAAACACCATAAGGGTGATTTATCAAAACTGGAGCAGACAAAATCTGGAGCAGCGGGGCATGGCAACCAATCAGCTTTTCTCTTTCATTTTCAAATCTTAACTGAACAAAATGAAGAGAAAATTGGTTGTCATGGGCAACTGCTCCAGATTTTGTCTGCTCCAGTTTTGATAAATTCCCCTCAAAGTGCTTAAGCTGTTAACACACAAATATTTCAAATTTCTTGTGTCTTTGTTCAACACACCCATTACACATTTACAGTGCTGGAGGAAAAAGCATGTGAACTCAGAGACGAATTAA